AAGTCTTTAGACTACAGAGAATAAATATTTAATTAATTTAAAAAAATAATATTTAAATTTTTCTTTACCATTTTTTTAATTGAATAAATATTTATTTGTTGTAGGTAAATGTTCTATTCGTACTATCTAAATAAATATTTATTAAAATTTCATAAATTCTTTTTTTAGCACAAATTTGCAATATTCTACCAAAATAATTCAAGCTTTGATATATCGTGATAATTCACGACAATTTATGGTTAAAATTTTAATTGTCATGAAACTGTAACAATTGCTAATTTATTATTGTAAAGATGCCATGTCATGAATTATTACGATATTATTTTCAAATATTTCTTTTTCTAAATTTGAAAGCTTGTTATACAGGATCTGGCTCAAATTTTATAAGTAATTGATGAAATTAATGCTTATTTTGAAAGCTTACATAAATCGTATAAATATTGTAGTATAAAATAGTTAAAATTAGTTAAAATAAGTTTGTTAGAATAAGTGTATTGATTGTGTGATGAAAACTATGTTGAAAAATGAAAAAAATTGCCAAAAATCACGCGTTTTTTTCATCAGACCGAGAACTTTTCGAACTACCCCCATACATATATACATATACATACAAAAAATTTTCATTTTTCGCGTTTCTGCTTTAAGTGAAAAGTTACATGATTAGTTCCCTGGACTGTAAGATGTCATAAGATCTCGACACTGTCTACATAAATAATACCGAGAAATCAGACAGTAGCAAATTGATGACAAATTTATTATTGACCATAATGATCCTTATTTTGACGAATAATTATAATTGTTTCTTAATAAATTTATATGTAAAAATCGAAGGATAATACAGAATTTTTTTTGACAACTAAATATAATTAAATTGTTTCAGAATCATGCATCTTACTATTAATTGAGTCATTTATTTCCCAGGCAAAATGAAATATTTATGTGAAACATTTTTTGTAATATTTCAATAAAATGTTTCAAAAATATTTTGAAAACATTTGTAAGACGTTTTAAAATATTCCACAAAGACATTTTTAAAATGTTGTACGTTTCATACAAAATTACTTAAATATTTCAAATTTTTCAATGAAACATTTTTTGAAAATATTTCTGAATATGATGTATGGATTACCTGTATCTTTATTCTTCTCATGAAGATCTATGGAAGGACTTTCACTCATGACTAAGTAAGGTGGCCTATGAATTTTACACCAAGGCCATTAAATTCTAAGCGATTTGCAAGCCTTCCAAAAAATCAATGGCTCCGTACTGATATATAAAAATAAATCGAATTCTTAAACAATCAACGATCTTTGACCATAATACACCTGCAATTTACGCCGCACGATACATTAATATTACTTATTAATTAGCAATTGTAAATTTTCCTTTAAATTTCCTAAAATACGACACGGTTGATCGTGTTTGGCAGCGAAACGCAAAATGTTCGATCCCGATCTCGACTGTGCATATTTCGCTCCGTGCACGCGGATTATTTAAACGTACTGATATCGGTATTTATCTCATCATGAGTACAGTGCGCACTGTACTAGTCCGAGAGGACATATGTACTTTAAATGATTCTTTGATGCACGTGGTATCCCAATTCTCAAGTGTTTTTCGTTCGTCGCATCGATAAATCCTTCCTATTCATCATCATTTAACAAGAACACGCGTACTCAGTGCTGATAAAAAAATTATCTCTGATTTAGAAAATGAAATTTATTTTTCAATTTAGTAAATAATTTAGTGCAATTTTATTAAATTATAAATAATTATAATATAAATTTAAACTATAATATGTGAGAATAAATCTAATTACATAATACAAATTATATTTAATTAAATTTACATAGAAATATTGAAACACTAATTAATTAAATTATATTTTTATGTAAATTTAAAATATATATTACATATTTATATTACAACTGTTACAATTGTAACCATCAATTGGAAAACATTCTATTTTATTTATTAAATTTATAGCATCTTTTAATTTTAAAATATACCGTTTTTCAAATGTATTATCTTTCTTCAGTCGATTCTATTTGAGTCGATTATTCGTTTTTCTTTCCGAAAATATATTATATCACTTATTGTCGTCAAATAATAAATTTGTTAAGATTAATAAGTTTTGGACGAGTTTTATGAAGGAAATAAAATTGCAAAATTGTATCATTTAAATTACAAAAATTACAAAAAATTTTTGTAATTTGTTTTATTTCGAGAGCACATTTGTTATATTATATATTGATCGTATCATTTAGTTAACTTTAAACGGATTTTTTTTACAAAAGTCAATAGAAAGTCTAAATGACTTTATTTTATCATCATAAAGGCCCAAATTATGATTTTTGTTACAAAATTCGATTTTTTTTTGTTTTATTAACATTAACTATAAGAATCAATATAGAGTCCTTTGTATTTTTGTTAATTTTTTGTATTATTGATCTTTATTGTGATTGGCCGATTTATTTACTCTACATTGCTAAAGCTTTTTTTAGGTGCTTTTAATCTGTGCGACGCATGAAAAATAATTGACGTACGTGCGTACAGTGATCTGAGTATCTATCAGTCAAAGTGCACATGTCCTCTCGGGTTTATTCAGTACGCATTGTACTTTAAACGTCTTACGCAGTGCAAGCGAGTGTGACAAGTACATGCACTGATAAGCAATAAGAAACATTCTTGATATACTTTCAAGTTTTTTTCTTATTGTATTTTTTTCCATCGTCTTCTTATGATTCTGCCAATCGCTGATGTTTCTTATCTTAAAATGCCGTGTTACATGCCCTGAAGCCTCTTTTTGTTGAGGCTTAGAGTATTTCGTTTCTGGTGAAATATAACATTAAAAGATTTTCGGGGTCGCTGATTTCGAATCCGAACTAAAAATTAAAAAATTCAAAATAGTTGAATCAATATGGGGGACGCAAATGCTAAAAATCTTTTGATTTTAACAAAATGTAATGTTAAAATATTTTCGGGGTCACTAATTTCGAATTTAAACTTAAAATTAAAAAATTGAAAATAGCTAAACTAATATAGTAGACGGAAATGATTAGAGTCTTTTGATTTTGGCGAAATGTAGCGTTAGGTCTGTTTTTGGCGTCGCTGATTTCGAAATTGTATCTAAAATTTGAAAATTTAAAATGGCTCGATATGGTAGACAGAAATGTTAAAAATCTTCCGATTTTAGTAAAATATAGAATTAAAGGATTTTCGGAATCGTTAATTTCGAATCCGGACCTAAAATTTGAAAATTCCAAATGGCTCAATTAATATAATAGACGGAAATGTTGAAAATTCTTCGATTTCAGCAAAATGTAGTATTAAAAGGTTTTTAGGAACGTTGATGCCAAATTTCCGAACTTAAAATTTAAAAATAGAAATTCAAATTTGAAAATTAAAAATGGCTAAGTCAATATGGCGGACCAAAATGTTAAAAATTCTCCGATTTCAGCGAAATGTGGTATTAAAGACATCTCAGGGAGCTAATGTCGAATCCAAACTTAAAATTTGAAAATAAGAACCCAAATTTAAAAATTCAAAATGGTTGAACCAATATGGCGGACGGTAATGCTAAAAGTCGGTTTTGGCGAAATGTAGCGTTAAATTTTTAGAGTCTCTGATTCTGAATACGAATTTGAAATTTGAAAATTCAAAATAGCTGAATCAATATAGAATAGAAAAATTAAAAATGGTTGATTCAATATAGCGGACGGAAATGAAAATGCCAAAGTCACTCGATTCTGGTGAAATATAGTGTTAAAGGTTTTCCGCTTTTACAACACCGATTATTCCGGAAAGTTTTCAGAAATGTTTCCTTTTACATTTCATGAATAACAATTCCGAAAGAGTTTTGCAATATGTCATATAAAGTGTTTTAATAGCCAAAATGTTTACTAATAACCTCCAAGACCATTTATTCGGTTGAAAGCTCCGAATTGAAAGCTCCAAAAGGAAAGTGGCTTAAGGGATGCATCGCAAAAATTGAAACTATGTGAATATGAAAGCGCATAAATTCTATGTATTTGATTTTTCAAATCGACTGTTATTAACACGTGGAGGGAGGGCAGCCCACTCAGACTTCATACAGAACAATTGGTTTCAACTAACAAAATAAACGAAAAAATTTTTTTGCGAATTTCTAGAGCGTATCAATAGCGCGTTGTTATAATATATAATTTATTCATGAAGATTTTGGTTCGTGCGTAATTACAAAAAAATAAACATTTTTGCCTTAAAACCTTAGTCGCTACATGATGTATCTATAATTTTCATTTTTATATAAAATATTATGCATTGTAATATTAATATTATTAAACATAAAATAGCCGAGACTGAGTGTCTTTTGAAAATAATATCAATATTGATAAAATCTCTTTTTTTTTACAAAGTGCCACAATACTGATAATTTTTTTAAACTAAAGGTATTTCTATACAAAATTTCTTGTATAAAACTAAAGTTAAATTCAGAAGACGCGTATGAAATATAACGTATACTATTGCTAGTTTCCTTTAATACATGCCTTCATGCTTCTAATATTAGGCTACTTGTAAATGTTAATAATTTTGTTTTATTGTTACACCCATTTTTTATAAATCAAGGCACATATTATTGAATTATTTTGAATGGATTTCCATCAAAATTATTTTCATTAAGAAACACAATAGAAATTTAGGAAATGATTAAATAATTTCAATCGAAATTCATGAGCTACAAGAATTTGTACGATTAACACACGAAGTATTATCTGCGCTCAGCTATTTTTTATGTCGATCCGATTAGATCGATCGGTAAAAAGTTTGCAGATATGTAACTTTCTGGAGAATATGGCGGGCGCATATTAAAGATATAGGTATGTATTATTTTCAAGAAATCATTAAAAATAACAATTTTTATATCATTATATTAATTTTTATATTTTATTTTATATAAATTGTTCTAATTATGTATATCTGAGTAATTTGTATAAAAATTGAGGATATCTAATTGATTTAAAATTTATTTAATTTTTTGTTTTTATCTCTCTCTCTCTCTCTTAATTATTACATAAAATATTGTTTGCTACAATCTGCAAATTTGATAAGGTCATAGAATTACGAATTAAATCTGGTTTTTAAAATATATTTTAATAAAACTAATAATTATTTGTTCAATTAATGTTGATTTAGATTCACAATTTAAAAGTTTTTCATTTAAAATTATAGCAAAGCATTTACAGCATAAGTTCATTAAATTATTTATGTTTTTGTTAGTCAATTTCAGAGACTATTTATAACAAAAATGTTTTGAGTGATTTGGTTATTTTAGATGATTTATTAACTGATAAATTTAACTGATATTTTATGTAAAGTCAAAACTTTAATCAAATTAGCATTACACCTAATCGACTAATAATACTGTTTGATCACGCAATTCAATAATCACTGTGTGCGCGCGCGCGCGTGTGTGTGTGTGTGTGTGTGTGTGAGTGACTGTATTGACATAATCGAATCAACTTAAGTAATCGGAACGCACTTGCTGCGGTTGGCTTCTGAATTAAACATATATAATAATAATTATTCAACTATTCTAAGTTCAATATCTTAAGCTCGACATATTTATGCTTATATTAGATAACCCAGATCGGAGAACAAATTAATTTTTATACACATACATGTGTATAAATATTCATTATATGTATTTATAATATGAGGACGATTTGTATTATCTACATATTTTACGTAATACGAATTTTTCGATGCATGTGTCGACGATCATCTTATCTCAGTGGAACAAGAGAGAGAACTTTCCACTAAGATAAAATTTCAATGATATTCTCATATCATTATACAGTTGGAGAATTTATATGAATTATTTTTACGGATAAAAAAAGGTATTTTTATCTCGGTATAAAGATTAAAAACGAAAAGAAAAAGTTGCATAAAGTTAGACAAATTAATAAATTATTGCACAATAAGTTATATTTATTCTTTTTGTTTTCATGTTTTTGTATCACGTTTTATTACAAAAAATTATTATTTTTTATTATAAACATTACTTCTTTTACTTCTTTTCATTTTAATTGCTCTGCAAATATTATAATTTAATTCAATCCTATTATTAATTTAATTAAATCTGAAATAAAAAAGTAGAAGTTCGGAAATCTTCTTCCCAGAAAGCAATTAGACACAATAAATCTGAAATAATAAATAAACACGAGTTGATTAGTTTCTTCATGTACAGTACAGAAGCTCGCAGCAACAATGCTTGCAGCAGTAACGTTTGCAATATTACTGCAATATTGCTATATAAACTAGAATCTTCGAAAAATATTAGGTTGTTTGGAAAGTAATTTCGTTTTTTCTTATGAAAATGAAAGACGATTTTCAATCAGACGCGTTTCATATGATCATGAACGGTCGAATTCGATAAATTTAATCTCTCAGCGATCTCACGAGTTATTATTCACCGGTTTGGATCAATTAATGCCTTTATTGTGTCTTCATCAGCTTCAACTGGCCTTCCAGAACGTGGTGCATCTTCAACATCAAAATTGCCGGATCAAAATTTTGCAAACCAGTTTTGGCACTGGCGTTCTGTCAATACATCTTCTCCATACACAGCGGATAATTTTTTCTTGCTTGAACAGCATTTTTACCTTTTCGATAGTATTAAAAAGTAAAATATGCCGAAAATGCTGCTTTTCACTTTCCATATTTGATAGGGCACCAACCAAAAACTACTGCGTAGAATCAATAGAACTTTTTTCACAAGCAAGCCTTGCTATATCAGCTGTCAAAATAAATATATAATGATTATGCGGCTTAAGTGTGAAGTTGGCTGTGAAAAAATACAATAAGTCCTCTGTTGGGAAAAAACAAAATTACTTTCCAAACAACCTAAATTAAACTGACAGTCAATTTTCTTCATTTTCGGTAGTAATAATTCGGTAATAATAATTTATAAACCAAGAATCATGATAAACTGATATTACTTTGCTTTATACAATGCAACTTGAAAATCGTTATCGGTTATAATAAACAAAGAATAAAAATGCACAAAAAAACATTTTCTATTTCAAATTTTTTTATTAAAGACTTGAAGAATTGCAATTACTTTTATTATCAAAACATGCCTTAAAATAAATACTGTGTAATTACATAAATGAATAACTTTTTAACAAATGCATGGATCTCCATTGATCCTCTTATTAATATGATTTTATCTCAACATCTGTTCTTTGCTCTATTCTAGTAACATTAAACTAATTACATCAACTTGTAGATAACATTTCTTATATACATAATTTCTAACTGCAGAGTGGGAAATACAGTGTTTCATTGAAAGATTTTATTGCTAACGCAAATAAAAAGATTTACACGTTAAATTGCTTTTGACAGTTCCAGCTTCGCGGTATGAACAGGTCCAGGTAGTAATTGGGATGAGGTGGACAGTTGTACCGGGCGTAGAATTCCATTGCGTACAAATTGACTAGGAGGCCGTTGCCGAAGCTCCAACCGAACCACATTATGACGTTGTTAAACTTGATGAAGAATATGGGCAAGCTTAAGGCGAAGAAAAAGATGAACATCATCGGATAGAACAAGCCGAAGCTGAACGCGAGTATGTACTCGTGGAAAATGGCGGAGACGAAGAATACAGCGATGATTGACAGCGTCCGATTGCGCGGCACCACAATCTCGTACATATCCTTATATATATATGTGTACAGCCAGTCGTGCACTACCACATTCCACTTGCGATAGAACGTGTGATAATTTGTGCTGTTCCACCAATCCTGTTACGTAAGCGATACAGCAATTCATGAAGCTATAGTTTACAAAAGTCGATAATCTAGAAAGATTCGGAAGCTTCCGGAAGTTATCGCAAATTCTTTCGTTTAAGGGAAATATCTTCCTCGCAGCTATTTCTCTTATAAAATTACTATGCAAATAAGTTATAGGGTCAATTCTGAACCCAAGGAAAATTCAAAGGTCAACACAAAATCAAAATGACTTTATCTTGATCTTTAACGTAAATAAACAGTCAAATTTTGTAATCAAAAAACATCATTTTAACTTTCATGATGTTAAAATAAAATTATTTTGATTAAGTTTTTCTGACTTGGTATATTTAAGCTTGGTATATATTTAATGCTTATATTAAAGCATTTGAGATATACTGCGATATAACTCTTAAAAGTAGATATATTTACTTGCATATCCTTTGTATAACTATTTTAAAAGATAGATGAAGACGCATATTTATTTACCTTGTAAAACAATCGGTCAGCAAATTGCAACATTTCCGCCCAAGCGTTCAACCACGACTGCAGCAAAAGGTATTGTCCAATGATAAAGTAGAGAAAGCCGGGAACACTAGAGTTAATGGCATTCATGATAAACCATTTTTGGTCCAAATATTGTGTACCGAATACGTGATAGACTGGTAATATAAAGCATTCCGAGACAAAGGTGAAATAAAGGATTGCTAGGCCCACTTCAATGAAATTTTGAATTACCACCTTCCACCTAATTCTTTTCGTTCTAAAATAATCAGTTAAGTTCGAATATAGATCTTCTTCTAAAGTTCTCTTAATATTAATTTAACATAACCAACAACAATACTATTAAATTGTCTTTTGTAGTACGATGAATTAAAAAATTTAATTACAGAATTATATTGAGAAAGTAAGGATTAAGAACATTTTGTTTATAAATTTTAGAAATGATCTTCAAAGTTTTTTTTAATTTTTAAGCCATATGAATTCAGTATAGTCCAAATAGAATTAAATTTAGTTCTCGATTAAATTTTATAATTATGTAAAAGTTATCTTTTTCATCGCACAGTTAAAATTTCAAATTAATTATTAATTTCCTAAAAAAGTGTTGAATAAAATATCTTTACCTAGGATACTCGTCGCGGTATACAAGAGTTGGTGCAAACAGGAAATATAGATATTGCGAGAATTTGGGGCAATTCGGTCGTGGAGTTTCAGTGTGAGGTTTGTATGACAAAAATCTGGGTGCTGTGCTTCTGACAAAGGCGTGACTTTTCATTGTCATACGTATCTAAACAAGCAAACATTGTTTTAAGTTGTAAAATTTTTATTCCGACATCTATTTTAATGTTGGAATAATAAAAAATATTCTATTATTCTATAAATTTATATGTGAATTATTCAAGTCATTTAAAATTAAATTACGTAAATGTTTTTAATAGAAAAAAATCTTATTAACACATTTTATTAATTTGTATTTTAAATGTATGCGATTGATTTACTGTGGCATATACTTTTCAAAAAGGATTTGAACTTTTTACTTCTAACATAATTCAAGACGTTTTAATCGCAGATTTTTAAAGATGCGTACTTGTTCAAATATAACGATCATATTGCAACCAATGGAAAGATTCGCGTCGAGCATCGCCTTAATAGAAAAAATAATAAAGAGAATTTGATACAATATAAACATTGATAGCCAGCTGTAATCCCACAATTTTTGGATGGAGGCTGCAAAAAGAAAAGATATAGTTAAATTATTTGAAGTAATTAATATTATTTAATATAAATTTCTTTAATCATTTAATATTATCTAATAGTCTTTATAATAATTTGTTCAATTATTTTTGCACTGTCATTATCGTATTATAATTTCTACTTAATTAATCAATTATTTTAACACAGAAAGAATTATTTAAAAAAATGAGATTTTATTTTATACTTATTTTAATCAAATTACTCTTCAAAAGATTTACTTCCAATTTTAAATTTCTCCAATAATTTAACTTATTGTTTAAATTAAACACATTTATCTAAAACTGAATTAAAAAAATTATTACATTTTGGCAATAATTGGAGTCGTTGGTGCGCCCAGAGGGTAAAAGTCACGTAGACACTGAGTGTCGAGGCTTGCATGAATGACCAAATGTAGAGGCACGTTGGAAATTTTGCGAAAAAAGTCCGTAATGTATTGGTACCAAGGCGGATCCTTTAAGAATCATTAATTAAGAAAGAAAAATTAGGCGGTAAGAATATACATTTTCATATATTTTAAGGATATGTTTCACGAAGCGATATTTAAGCGGTTTTCCCACGAAATGTTGACGACAACGAATGTTGTGACGATTTTACAATGGAAGCGAGTTAGATTCCTATTGCAAACTTACGTTCCTGTTTTCATGATATCGAATGCGACGGTGTTGATAAGCAGAATTATAAAGATCATTACGAACAGATTGTATATCGCACGAAAATGCGAGATCTTCAAGAGATCAGTGAATATTGAGTTTCTTTCGAGAAACTCCTTATCCGGCAACGCATCTGTCTTGCTAGATTTCCTAGAGAATTAACGGAAATGCAAATATGATTAACGTGTTACAAATATATTTATTGATAAATACATCTTACAACAGATATATTTTATTGATATTTTGCAAATTCTTTAAGTTTGCATGCGTACATTCTTACGTTAATAGTAACTTTATGAATGCATTCAATAACACAATTGTTCACCGAGTGGCTAAATAACAGTCGAATGTAATTGGTTCTTATTTTTATCCAATATTTGTCTTAAGATTAGCTTCTCAATTATGTTATAGAATCGTAATGTACTTTATTGGATGTTACACTTTTAATATAATAATTTTTATATCAAAGCATGAAGATATAAGAATTACTTAATAAAAGTTTTATTTTATTTGAACTTTGAACTTTATGATACAATGATTTAAAAAAAATAGATCTAAGCAACAATGTTGCAATATCTTTCACGTTGATATTTTTTGCTTAAAATTGTTATATACTATCGAATATTTTTAAATCTATCTACTTTATTTGTACCTTTATTTGTATCATGTATTTTTATGAGTATTTGCTGTTCGAAGCTTTTTCTCTGATTTTGTCATTTCTCACCTTTTGTCACGATATTTGTCCATGTATAAGAATTCCCCATTCTTTGTCAAAGGCATCCGTATCTTCTGCAGAATCTCAGACATCATGTCATCAACACGGTTGTTAACGTATTCCGAAACATCCTCTCTTATTTCCTGCAAAGAAATACGCCTTACAACAAATAATACATCAGAAAGCCACATTTCTCTCACGAAATCGAATATTCACAGTTTAAGCTTTTATTATAGACTTCACTACACGCTTTTTTGATGGCAAATGATATTAATTCGATACATTTAGTCAAATATATTTTGTCGCACCTGTATTTTTTTCCGCAATACGTCGGCGTTCACTTCATGTAAAATATCTGTAAATATCGCGTTTTCATTGTCTGCTGAAAAGAAAAATACATGTGTAGACTCTGTTGCGTTTTAATCAATCCAATCAATTTTGTCTGAAATTATTAATAATACAAAAAAATGTTTTAAATGAAAGTGAAATGATTTCAAAGGAAACGTATTTTAGTTACAATATTTTTTTTACCGCAAAGGCAGTAAAAAGATAGACATGAAGAGATAATTTCCATTTTTTTAATGAAATATTATATAATTGTTTTATTTAATATAATTCCATTAATTACTCTGAATACAAAATTAACTATTAAAATAGAGATAAGAGCAGAGATAAAAAGTAAAAGTAAAAAAGTATATAATTTTCACTTTTTTTTTAAAGCAACAATATCTCATTATTTTGTGCATAAAAATATTAAGTTACAGTTATAAAAAAAATTAATAATTTACAAATATTTTATATTTCGTATTAAAGTTGACTAAAATAAAGTATAAAATATCTCATAAACTATTGATTTTTCAATATCAGTATTTTTTACTTTATCAGTATTAGAATTGCCAAGCGTCTTATGATTAATCGAGCCGTTTACTTACCATGTTTATCTTTTTCGTGAAAGCTCGTGTCACCAGTATCTTTAACATTCATAATTTCTATAACAATAACTCAATGACTAAATGGAAATTTCGGTCTTAAGGAAACTTTTCTCCGAGAATATTACACTCTCTAAGTAACTCTATGTTAAGTTCTGAGTTACGTGATTTGCGGGAATCCTCTCAGAAAGTTAATAACTCTGTACTAGTTCATAAGGACTTTGATTGTTATGGATCTTCAATAAATTTTCAAACATTTTCAATCATAATATTCGCGATCAACACCGTCACGCATGTGTTGCTATTATTTTTTGATTAGCAATTTTAATGTTAATTTTCTTTTAGATTTCCTTTCGTTTAGAATTTACGCGATCTAACAGTGTTTGGCGAGATACAAACTGCAAATCCCAGCATGATCTCGATTGTGGACTATCTGTTCCGCAGGGCGCTATCTAAACTGCCTGATCGTGTTTATCTAGCATGAGTACGTACGCACTGATTATGTCCTAGTGGCACACGTGTCTTCGGCTAATAGATTCTTAGATAATGCGATACATATTTTCGTGTGTTGTACTGAGTAATTTTCTTACTATATTACTTATTGTTTAAATTTAGAAAAACACGCGCCTTCACGCATGTGCTATAATAAGAGAAAATCTCTCTCTCTCTCTCTCTCTCTCTCTCTCTCTCTCTCTCTTTCTCTCTGATTTAGACAAATACATTATCTTTAAATTTATTAAATTTCATATAACTTTTTAATTAAATAGATTTTATGATGTTAATATCTATGTATTTAAAAGATTAAAATTTGAAATATATAATATAAAAACAGAATAAAATTGAAATATATTTTATATATGAATATTACTATATTATATGCTATAAATAAAAAAATAAGTACTTTTATAATTGTAGATCGTCAATTTAAAAATAGTTGTTTATAAATTTTATAAATTTTAAAAATTTATTTAAAAAATTTTTTATGTTTAATTTTAGAATATCTCATTTTTTCATTGCATTATTTTTTTTCAGTCGATTTTACTTCAGATGATCTTGTCTCTCTGTAAAAACATATTACGTCACTTATCAGTTAAATAGTAAATTTATTGAAATTAAAATGTTTCTGACGTTATATGAAACAAACAAGATTGCAGAGTCATATCCTTTCTTCAAGTACACTTTACTTCGAAATCTTAATTGTTTAATTACGAAGATACACGACAATGAAAGCATTAATGTTGTGATAAACGGCTGTTCCCCTCAACAAGAAAAGTTTCGACGTCTTGAATCATTTTATTATAAAACGGTTGGCTGTCTCAAAGATACGAGACGATCTAATTACGCTTTATTACATATTTATTTTTCATATCTTCAAATTTATTTCATTTTTGTCGAATTTTGTTGTAGTCTCGTTCTTCTAAACTAATTCATTGTCGGATTTGGCAACTCGCGCGCGAATGTTAGTTAACAATATATGAATTGCAGATATAACATGCGTACAATTCATAACAACTTCGTCCAAGTTACTATATTTAGATAGTTCTTATGATAAAGCTGACCTTAAACCTTTTCTGTGACGCGGTGCGAACGTATGCAACAAGTATATATATTTGCTATGATAAGTTGGATAAACGCTAAAGCAGTTTTCGCTTTGAAAATTTTATTTGTTACTCGTTTTATCTATAATTTTTACACACATTTATACATATAATATATTAATATTATTATATTATTTATAATTTTTATTAACATAAATATTATGATAGGGAAAAGTGAGTGAATTGTGCACACTTAAGGGAAATTTATTGTCCTGGAATGGTTTTCCAAATTCAAAGCGATATAAGTATAGAAATAGAAACTATAAACTCTTTCTTCTCCCATTACGTATTCTTATATTGAACAGATTTTTATTTAATAAGGTTGTATTTGGCAAAAAGAAAAAACGGAAAAGCGAAAAGAATTCTCGCGCGTTGAGCAACTGTGCACATGGATTGAGTAATTGTGCGCAAAATAAAAGCCGTAGGAAATGAATGAATTATAGAATGAATATATTATAAAATGTTGACAAAAAGACAGAAAATATATTTATTATATTGCAATATAAATATATATATTAAATACATTTTAAATATATATTAGGTCTACAAATAGTTCTGACCTCTCTTTTTACAGAAAATTGATATTTATTTATAAAAAACCAAAGTACATATCAGTCTTAAATATAATCTCCATCACTTTCGACACACTTCTGCCATCTCTCGGGTAGCTGGCGAATTCCTGCTCGAAAGAATAATGGTGATTTTAATTTAAGGGTACTTCAGATATTTGAATCTGTAGGGGTCATATTTGGAGAATAAGCTGCATGAATTTCCCAGCTCAAAGTAAAGATTAAAGGCCGCAGCAGAGACCTATTCTATAGAAAAGAAGAATTTCTATTGATTGATTCCCTTATGCACTATGCATTATGCGTTATGCAAGAGTCTGTGCTGCACTCATAATTCTTTGGTTGCTATCGCCGAATGAGGTCGTGCGCTATCGTGCAGCAGTATCACTTGACGAGTTCCCTGGCCGGTATAGGATTGTTTTTGTTCGATTTCGTCACTTAAACGCGTCATTGTTGTTGACAATGTTCAGATGTTACAGTTTCCCCAGGTTTTAGCAACTCAAAGTATAGTAAAACTTTTATATCACACCAAATACATAATAATACTTTTTTCGAGTGAATATTCCGTTTTGCAATTGACGTTGATGGTTTTTCATGATGAACCAATGATTTTTTTCATTTAGGATTCTCGTATAGGATCTATTTCTTATCACAATTACAATTTTAAACAGAAAATCCTTCTGCTTAAATCTTGATAACAAACAAACTGTTTTAGTGTCTCGCTTTGTTTTCTGAGCTGAGCACGTATGGAACCCAACAACCAGTCTTCTGTCTTCTTCCCAGGTTCTGCAATCGATGAGGAATCGCTTATTGAGTAACACCCGGTTGTTCAGTAAGCTTCTTTTGTGTTTGACAAGGATTTTCTTGCAATAGCTGATCCAATTCTCGTCTTTAACTTTTTTTGATATTCCCGTACGATATTGATCAGAAAGATTGAAATTATCTGTCCGAAACTTTTTGTATTATCTTTTGCATGTACTTTCAGACATCGCATTTTTTCCTAAAGCGGAACAAATCATTTCTTTCGCTTCGACACTTCTTTTTAATTGAAAAACGAATAGATACAATATCTCACGTGATTATCGGACGACGTTGTGCTCACTTTAAGGTTTGTGAGATTAGACGATTGTCGTCTAGCAAGGTTTCCATAGTTTTTTTAATCATAAAAGTTGGTATTACGAATCCCCAAAGTAGCGGGAAAAAGATTTGAATTTATAGTAAAGTTACAGTTGATTAATTCGGAGAGAACTTATTTGTTGACCTAATAGTTTGTATAAAGAAACAATGTGGAGTTCTTAAAATTAGACTTAAATGTTTAATTAAAAGTTAAAACGTAATTGATATACAAAAATTTATGTGTATGTGCAGCGTGCGTGAGTGAGATATTGATGTAGTGATGTGTCAATGTGACACGTAAATCATTTGTGTATAAGTCCTATATTCGATATGACTAATCGTCTTTAGGATCCTCTTAAGGACATTTGCAGAACTTCGTGTTGATCAAATAATGTTTTCATTAACTGAGTAAATTTCATGCATTAATTATCATTGTTGTTCACTAAATGTAACAACTGAATGTAATAACAAGGATAAATAAAACATCATGCGCATCATGCGTACAACAAAATCCATTTATCAGGAATGTGTTATCAGGTACTTACAAATCAATATAACGTAGAAAAATTCGAATTAATTTATTTCAATAATCTTTCAAACTTCTATACACTACTTTAAATTACATTGACAAATCAGAAGAGAAAACATTTTCTCGTCAGCCATGACAAATATCACTTCAAGTCCTGGTAAAAAATTTTTCATACATGAATATGTATAAACATACATAAACACGCATCAATATTCATAAACATGTATAATTATATATGAACATGTATGGATATATTTCATATATAATTATACGTATTTATGAATATTTATGCGTGTTTGTGTATGTTTATACATATTTATACATATTCATGTACGAACATTTTTTTATCGGAGTGTGTTTTGAGTTATGCATGAAGCGCATGATGTATGATTCTTCTTTATAGTTCTGAATAATAAAGAAGGATAACATTTTCCTTCGTTCTACTACAGAATACACGCGACATAAAAGTTATGAGGTATACAATATATATAATGTATGATCGTCTGACCTGCGTCGGCTGTCACACTAATCAAACTATTAGAGTGCGCTAAAGTTAAAATTAATTAAAATTTTGGTGTTTAATTTTTCCATATCAGACCCAACTGAAAAATATTTAAAAAAAGCTTTATAATATGACATATAATAATATAAAATATAAATTAACATAATTTTTATAATACAATAGAGTACTACAGTAATTGTAAAATCTAAAAATTGTCATAACAACTTGAAATTCTGTTTGGTTTAATTAAAATGCATTTAATTATACAAGTTGATATCAAAACACAATCAAACCATTTTTCTCATTCGTTAGAGAGAATAGAAGATCTAATATTACACACTAAGTAGCACTTATTGGTTCATATACGTTTTATATACGTTTTCTAAACGTATCTATTTTACAAATATTTATAATAAGAAGTGTATATAAAATCAATAGTGCTCCTGGAGACAAAAATCACTTTTTCTTTCTCTTTGAAATGTAACAGTACATTTCCCAAAAAATTTTTCGTACTGAACACAATGTCGTTGGTAGAATTGACTCAGCAAGTTAGGATTTTGAGTAAATTGGAATGAAATGGACAAAAATGACATGATTTTTAGTCATATTTAACACTTGCAGTAAAAAAATAACTGGTTTATAAATAAACTGAGCAGCATCTGAAAGTATAATATTATATTGAAGAGTAGTATAATATTTAAGTAACATAATATTTAAGAAAGTAAAATATTTAAGAGTTTTTAAACGAATCTCGACTAATGATCGTATGACCTTTTTTATCAAGTTATAGTTATTCGAATTTTAGATTTTTTGTAACATTCCATATGTTTACAATTTTATCCACACACATTACAGACAC